GCTCCCCAAGTTTTAATTTATTTTATAGATTTTGTAAGAAAAAATCAAGCCTCAATGAATGTCAAAGAATCATGGTGGATTAAACCAAAGTCCTAACCAGTTCATCTTTTCTTCCCTTAAGACCGATTCCTCAGAGGACATCAGCAAGATATCATGCTCACCTTCTGGTAATTTGGAAAAATGTTCCATTCCTCTATTAATTCGGGTAATCCCATTTTCAAATTTATCACCATTGCAACTGATAATCAATTCTACTTTCTGAATATGTTCTGTGTAATTTTGGGAAAAGAGTTCCTTTTCATCTATACTATCTTGAATTTTTAAAATTAGATGCTTTTAGAAATAATTTAAAATATAAAAGGGACATATTGTCAAAAAAACCCTGGGCTTACTTAAAAAGTCATTCTGAATTTTTAGGCCATATTTATGAACATTATTCTACTTGTCATTTACTTACCTTTTCTTTTAGTTTTTTTGTTTCTTCTTTAAATTCCTCTTCAAGTTTCTGAAACATCTGTTGTTCCTCAAGAACTAAATTCTTCTGTGTATTAACCTCATCTTCTTGTAATTTTACATAAGCTAACAATTTCTCCATCTCCAATTGAGTATCCTCAGCCTAAAATATAACAAAAGAAAAAGAAAACAAAACTCATTACATCATGAAATAAAACCCAGTCGGCACATCAATTTCTATAATGCAATTCAAGAAAACATCAAGAGTTTCAATAACGGTGAACTTTAGAATAACTGTGAACTTTCAAATAAAAATTATTGATGAGGGCACTGGAGAACTTTAAACAGCAGATGTTGAAAGCATCGTGCTCAATCCTGTCAAAACCAGGTAGCTGTGTACTTTTGAGCACCCAGCCACTTGGTTTTACCAACTTTAGCCTTGGATGAGGTTACACTCCTCTTGTCACGACTGGTGTTTAATCTGTGGGTTATCTGGTACTTGTTGCTCCTACTTGAAGAGCAGGTAGCAACTATGATAGAGTACCTTTGCATAATTTCATCTGGTGTTACCCATTGCATTCATTCCTGGATCAGGAAACCCGTCAAAGATGGTTTCTCAAGTCCTAGTAACCTACAGGTGGAATTACTGCAATGCAATCTAGGTCGGGCTGCCTTTGAAGACCAATTAGAAGCTCCAGGTGCAATTCAAGGTGTTGTTTATAACCTATGAAGCTGTATCTGGATATCTCTCATGGCTTCTGCCTATCCTTTCTGAGATCCAATGTAACTCCTTCCCTGATGATATTCCAAGAATCTTTAAAGGCCTTACAGCAAAGGATTTCAGAAGGCTTGTTGTTGGTGGAATATTTTTTATTTTGCGGGAGGGATATATGGGATATAGTTTTCCAAATGCTTCAGATGTTTTCTTTTTAAAAAACTATAAACTGAACAAAATTATTCTGGAACCAGGTGGTCTTTAAATCTAATAAATAATAATAATGCTTTTAAAGTGTCACACATTTTCCTTCCTTTTGTTTCAATTCCTCATCAATTTTTGAAATCTGAGAATCTGGGGCTAAGGTTTTCCCTTTCAGCTCTTCTACCATTTTCTTGTATTCGCTGAGAGAATTATTAGCCTCCCTCAGTTGTTCCTGAAGTCCCAGATTCTTTAAAAAAAAATCAAGCCACATGAAATCAAGCCACATTTAAATTAAATCTTAACCCAATAAAAAAGTACCTCCCAAAGGTGGAAATTACATCTTTTTACCCATAACTTCTGGTTGAATATCTTGCAACCTACAAAAATGACTCACCCTTTCTTCCACGAGCCTTTGGCGAAGCTGAAATGACTCGGTAAAGTCTTTAGAAGTCTAAAAAAAAAAATTTCAGTAGGCAACAACATTCTTCTACTTCGCAAAATATCAAATGTAATGGATTAACAAGGGATTGTTGCCTCAGACCATTCTGCTTCATCACCAAATTATGTTCCCAGCTTCAAGAAAAGTTCTCTTTTTTTACACATAATAATGTGCAAATAGCATTTATTTTATTGGATTTATATTAATATAGATCTAGTTAGGAATAAAGATAATAAGCAAAGAGAACCTGTTGCCTTTCTTCCTTTACAGGCAGATTAAGACACTGCTGGCATGAAACAGAGGCATCGGGGAAGAGTTTTCAACAAACTGTATTTTCCCTTAATGTGCAATTCTACACACCACTGAAGCATGTTTGCCCACTGCTTGGGAAAAATTGGTTCATCAATATATCTAACCCTCTTGGCAAATTCCGCTTGGTTTTTTTTTCCCCATCAGCCCGTAATACTTACAAAGTTTCTTTCAGATCCTGGGATCCATTCTTCCTCAGGCATTATAATACTGGCTGTCATGCATTGATCATCATATTCTGAGAATTCCGAGGAGACAGCTAAGAATTAAAAACACCCCCAACCCAAAGTATATAAAATTAAATGGAAATGGAAATTCTATGGAGTCAAATGAAAATGAAATTAAAAAAAACAAAAAACAGGGGGCGTGCATAAGCACACCAACGTGCCTACAGTCCCTGTCCTATTGTTTCTTTTATATATATTTTAATTTTTCTTATATGTATCCATGTATTCATAACTATGTTTTTACTTATACCTATTATCTTGTAAGCAATTGACAAATAATAACATTAAATAAATAAATTTTCTTAGGAAAAGAACTTACATTCTTCCATCTCTGTGACACAAGATGGAGAAGTTTTAAAGCGTTTAGGTCTACTAGGAAAATCTTCTAAGAAAGGCATTCCCCCATCTTGGCTTACAGCCCCAGGGGCCCAGGTCACACGCCTCTTCTTTTTAGCCTTAAATTAAGAATAAAATAAAAATAAGCATACACGTAAACAATATGTTGGCCAAGCTTTCCCACATTTCAAACATGGTGGGAATTTCTTGGCCAGCAGGCAGGTTGAGGAATTTTGAGATGTGAAATCTTAATACACCTGTACCTATCTGAGAAAGGACTTGATATAATAGGTACATTATACCTGTTATAAATACAATGAGTTCAAATTTGTTCTCTGTAGAGTCAGGAACTCTAGCAGAAACTGTTATAGTGGGAAAAATATTGGCAATGTTGATTTCGAAAAGTCTTTGGCAGGGAAGGTGTAGAGCATGTAAATGTAAACAGCACCTGACATTATGACCCACTGGTCTTAATTTAGAGCAGCCTGACAAGCAATGCTTAAGTTTTGTGATATATGCTATTAGTATAAGCTTGAGAAACATAGATAAGAGTTCTGACAAATAAGCATTGTCAACGGAAGACTGTTTATATGAAGATAGGAGCTTGATTTAAGAGTTTTTACTATTTTCTCAAACAGTTGCAGAACCATCAAAAATACAATTTCATACAACTGCAACTACTCAGGCTATCACTAAGACGAGAAAGAAGGCTTCCTATTTTTTTTCTATTTCGGTGTCTAAATCAGGGGTGCCAAACTCAAGGTCCGCGGGGTGCTTAGATCTGGTTGCCCTGGAAACAGTGAAGAACCAGCGAAAATGGAGCTGGGGGGGGGGCGTATGCTCCATTTGCACTGGCAGAAGACTAGGAGGCAGCGCACAGCTCCCCCGAGCTCCATTTGGCTGGCAAAGGGCTAGCAAAACAAACTAAAAGCAAAAACGCTCCCCACCCCCAAGGTCAAAAACAACCCTGATGTGGCCCTCAATGAAATCGAGTTTGACACGCCTGGTGTAAATCAACAGTGCCTTAAAATATATCTCATGTTTTATGTATCATTTTTTTATTTACCCTGAACTTACATTGGTGGGATTTTTAAAATTTAAAAAATCTAGAACTTAAGACATGCTATTTGTTTTGAGATTTATCATATTTCTTATATCATCACAAGAATAAAAGCCATTACTACTAAAATCTAAACAAAACCTGGCTTCTTTATCAACCCTTGCGATGCCTAACAACTTACTCCAGACATACTCACTACATTCCAGTGTCTGAATAAAAAACTAAATCTTAATGGACTTCTGAAAGGCTAAGAAAATGTGTGTGTGTGTGTGTGTGTGTGTGTTTCTTTATGTTTACATAAACTTTCCCCATCCTCCCACGCATAACAATTCCAAAACAA